AAATACTTATATAAAAGATTTTGGCTTGTGTTATTTTCTCTGTTTCTCTCTTCCCCGAGCCGAACTCATGGCAGAGCTCCTCAGCTGGTGATCTGCACTGGTATCTTCCAGCAAAACAACATCTGATCCTGGTCATCCACCAACTCCCATTTCACTATCAGCTTAATCTGCAAGAGAACAATGAAGTAAGAATAGTTAGGAGAGACCAAAGCAAAGACAACAGGCAGCTTCAGTCGTTTGTGAAGCAGAGGGGTCCTGGTGATCCTGTGGGAAGAAGGAGCTGGGCCACCTGCGGTGACTCCTGCAGTATTGTGTGGCTGGAGGGCACTGCTGTGTAACACGGAGACTTCTACATGCTACATTGAGAACCCCCATCTGAGAGTGCAGAGGAAACAGCCAGCACGTCCCCGCTGAATGGCACCTGGAGCCAACTGCCCCAAATCTGAGTGCTTGGCCGGGAGCAGAGCCTTGGCAGTGGGGCTGCATGCAGGCACAGCACACAAGGAACACACATGGGGATAGCTGAAGCAGTTTCTTAGCAGCTGGAGTCAGGCTGCTTCCTTTCACGTGTTTGTCCCAAAACAGGAACTGTGGACAGAATCCCACTCACAGCAGAAGTGAGAAGCAGCTGAAGATCCTTCTGACCTCTTCCCCATACTGCGAGATGAAGCATTCTTCTTTACAGATGGGCTGTGGGTTTGCCCCAGGAAGGAGGGCAGCCGCGAAGCGCAGGTGGGGTTCCTGTTTACTTACACTGGGGTACTCGCTCTTCACAGGGAGCTTGTTCAGGTAGCTGTATGAGTGGCCCTTCTGGATGGGGCACTGGATCCCAGACTTGCATCCATCAGGCTCGGGGATGGGGAAGGGTATGTCCACATGCAGCATCTCGCCATACACCTTTGCCTTACTGCCTTGGCTCTCGATCTCTGCAGGACATGGGAAGAGTGAGTGCAGCACCAGAGCAGGGAAACACTTCCACTTTGTGACCTCCCTTGGACATATTGAAACCAGATGATCATTGTGGTCCTTTTCAACCCAGGCCATTCTATGATTCTATGATTGTGTATCTGGAGGACAGTCTGCCTGAAGGCTGCAGAGAGCACACTAAGCAGTTCTCCTCCTTGGCTACCTCTTCCCATTCCGTGGCACCCTTCAGCCACTCTGCCCAGTTATTCCCAGACACAAAGGCACAGACTTAACGCTGTCACCCCCTCTGCCCACCTCATCCCTCCTCACAGGATCCCACCAGCACCCCAGGCCCCACGGAGCCGATGCTTACTGCTGGAGAAAGTGACGTTGATGCTGTACGAGGTCCCTTTGACGAGCTGGCAGGGCTGCGTGGGACAGGGGCTCACGTTCACCTCTTGAATGCTTCCGTCTTTGGAACCTAGAAGGACGAGCGAGGGGTTACCGGTGCCAGGACCCCGGAGGGCAACTCCCGCTCGGCCAAGGAACCGGGCCCCCGCGCCTCGTGGGACACTCACCGCAGTCCACGAAGCGGAGCGGCTCGGCCAGGGCGGCGGCAGCGAGCGCCAGTAGCAGCACGAGAGGCGGCGGCACCATGGCGGCACTGCGCTGCGCTGCGGAGGCGGTGGCGGCGGCGGCGGCGGCGTCACATGAGAGCGGCGAGGCCGCCCCGCCCCGTGCCGGCGGTCAGCTGAGCGCCGCTCCGCCCGCGGGGCCGGGCCGTGGGCTGCAGGTGGGCTGGCAGGCGGTTCCGCGGCGGTTCCGCGGCGGCGGCGCTGCTGCTGCTCAGACTCCCCGAGGCAGCGTTCAGCAGAACAGACAGCCGCTGGCAGACCTTGCTGTCAGGGACGTGCCCCTTGTGACAGCTGGTACAATCCGTGGGCCTCTGGGTCACTCTGGAGCCACCGTTTCACTGAGAAAATGAAAAGATACTTTCATCCGAGACTGGTGCTTGCGTTCTGCACTTACATATCCCACCAACTCCATTACCCGAGGAAAAAATCTGAAGTTCCGCTTGATGAGCAGCTACGCCCAATGAATGTAAATTCCTGTAACAGCACTGCACTTGCAGCTTGGTAAACACACAGACCTTCAGGCACTGTAGTGGCAGTGAATACAGAAACGGTATTCTAGAGAAAATCCACATCATCATCATCATGCATCAGTTTCTCCTGCTCTCTCAGCCAGTACATGCTCCTTTTGTTGCAGATCACCAGCATTCACAATGAGTGCACCACGGGACACTCACATTCAACAGCCATGGCAGTGGTTTCTTGTCATCAGTTTCTGAATCACTCAAACGAGCCCAGTTTTCCACTGAGATAAAATGCCTTAAACACACACGCTGTAGAAACAAGCGGAATACTTAGAGAACCCAGCTTGCAGGCAGACCTCATCAGTTCAGCAGGCTTAAAGAGAGCTTAAGGAACTCCCCAAAACATACAGTGTGCAGAATGAGGAGGGGGAAAAAAAGTACAATCAGATTATATCAAGTTATCAAGACCCACAAGACCAACAAAGCCACAGCCTAGGAAGGGAGAAAACATGGATTTTAATTCTGGATGAGACAAAAACACCCCCTGTCTACATAGATGGCGGAAAGAAAAAACGATCACTGGTAATAGAGAGGTGGAAAGAAACAGCTGTTCTCCTTCCTTACATGGCCTGGCTACTCCGAACATTTGCCTCCAGCACATGAATCACTCGCCAGAGCAATGGATTATTAATCAGACTAAATTAACTCGGATTGAGGCCAACTCTCTCATTTTCTCAATCTAAAGTAATGCAACAACATCCAGAAATGCCTTGAAAATACTTGTACCATTTCAGACATCTAACGATGGTAAAACTGAGGGCATGTAGAAAGTACAAGTGTTTTTTTTTTTAAGGGAGCGGGCTACATCAAATATCCAAAAAGAGATTGCAGTGAATATAGATGCAACATGAGGCCATGAAATGCCAGCATTCAGCACAATAAATCCTGCAAGAGAGAGAAAAGCCAGTGCAGTGTGAGAAGTAGAACCATCCTTCTCCCTTTTTTTCCCAGGAGCTCTTGATTCATTCCTCCAAATGCAGAGATGCACTGATAATAACTCAAAAAACACCCCCTATATGTGTTTAAAAGCATCAACTGTTCCAATACGCCTAATCTGAGGATCCAGCTGTTTGCAGCTAACTGGATGAGCACCAGCTCCTCTGGGACCCCACCTGTGATACTTTCCTGGTTTTATGCGAACATTATCAGAGTTAATCCAAGAGTGAGAAAAACTAAACAGCTCAAACCAGTCTTTATTTACATGTGCAAGGTGGTATACATAAGCAAAAGCATGTGGTTGCAGTTCTTTAAAGCACTGCCCCCTCAGCCTGGCAGCCACATTCACTGTGGGAGTGAGCCTTTTAGGATTTATACACATAATGTGGGAGTGAGCCTTTTAGGATTTATACACATAATATTAACTACATGTTTACTACTCCAAGCACTCCACCACGTGCTTGATTCCTATGCCTATGCCAAAGAAAATACTTTTGCTTCCTGCAGTTGTTAAATCTCTGTATGGAGCTGCCTACTACATGCTTAATGGACAATAACTTTGTCAAGCAGATGTCATCTTGGATTTAAGTACTTCCTCTGCCTCCACTGTGCTGCAAGGAGGTCAAGCTGTTCTAGGTACTGCCTTGTTCCGATTGAGATGTGTGAGAAAGCTAATAGTCACCAAGTCCTGAGCTGTGCTGACTTTAAATGATCCCCTCCTACTGGGATGACTGGTTTTCCTCTGTCATGCCACTGTATGACTCTCCACAAACCTGACTGGAGGTGAGGGAACAGGATTGCAGCCTGGAATTCCTCCAGCCGAAGCACGTGAGTAAATGATAAGCAACCCTTTAACTGTAGGCACACCTTTGAGCAACAGGCCGGACCAGTGTCACATGTCAAATGATCAGGTTTAAGGGAGAGAAACGAGGCAGAGCCACTCAGCTTCAGGCTGGCAGCCAAGTTCTGGACTCGATCAGGTGAGTGAAGATTCATCCTCCACAAAGCCCTTGATACAAGTTTTTGAAGAGAAAAAGCACCTTTAACAAAATGCACGTAACCTTTCATTAAGCATGAGTTCCCTGCTTTGATTGTGAAGAGTTAATTGAAGAATCATTAAACACCTACACACGCAGAAATGCGAGGCAGGAGATATGAGCAGAGGGGGCCTGGGAGATGGCAAGTGCTGGTGCTAACGCAGGCTCGGTGGTGAAACCATGGAGACTGCGTCTGAGAACTGCGCCATACGCACCCAGTGCGGGGATGAAGGCTGCACATCTGCCCAATCCTGCTGGATCCTGTTCTCACAGAGACGTGAGGAGTGGGAGGGGGCCGCGCGGAGCTGCGGCGCATGCAGAAAGCTGAGCATGTCTGTGTTTGCAGTACCAGGGTCATGAATCCCAACCCAAAGGAAAACTGGCCTCTGCAGGGAGCGCTGAGCTTAGAGACTCAGAGATTCCTCCCTGATAAAGAAAGTAAAACAGAAAAGTCAGTTATCGGGAAAAATCATAAGAAATCCTTCAGAGCAGGCCCTGTGTTTGTTCTTCTGTTTGCGTAATTCCCCCTGCAATGACATCTTGATCCCTGTCAGGGTCTCAGGGCACTGCTCAGTGCAAATAACCCTCACAGCTAAGTCCACCGCAAACACACTCTGCTGAAAAGCGCTGCATTATTTACAAAGTTATTTTTCTTTGCTGCTTTCAAAAGCAAACACTTTCAAGGACAAATACAAATTACGTGCTTTCAGCCACAGCACGTTCCCAAACCTAGAACAGGGCTGACACAGCGGTGTCTACGTCTTCCCTATGTGTGGGCCACCGCTCCCCCGCAGCCGAGGTCGGGACACAGCCAGACCCCGGCGGCCGCCACTGCTCACTCGACCCACCCGCACGTCGCCTAGCAACCCGCCCCACCGAACGCTTCCGCCTCGGTACGCGCCACGGCGCCTCGCGCCGGAAATAACGGCGCCGGACAGGCAATGGGCGGGCGGGATGGGGCGGGGCGCTGAGGAGGGAGCGAGAGGCAAGATGGCGGCGCTGAGGCGCTGTTGGTGGATGGCGCGGGGCGGTCGGGTCAGGTACCGACTCGGCAGCGCCTCTCTCTGTGACAGGGAGTGGCGAGTGCGGGGCCGGGGGCTCGGCGTGGCCCCGCTGAGGCTCGCCCTTTCTTCCCCTCCTTCTCCCTGAAGCAGTTGGTGTTCTGCTTCGTCGCACAGAGGACGAGCGCCGCTCGGCCCCCCGCCGGCCCCTGTCTGCGCGCTGGGCCGCTCGCTGCGGTGGGCATCGTCCTCCTCCCAGCCGGGCCCGACGGAGAGCGACTCCAACGAGGGACAGGTCTACCTCAGCGAGAGCTGCGTGAAGGTATGGCCCCAAGAGGGCTTCCCGAAGCGTCCGGCCTGCCGTGAGTGCACAGTGGAGGTGTTGCAGCATTTGCCTGTTCGTTCAACATGGTTTGAGCCTTTGTTTGTTTGTTTTTAATCTTTTCTGTTTTGTAGAGGCTGCTGGAGATTGCAGAAGGATCAGAGTTTCTCAGGCTGCAGGTGGAAGGAGGTGGTTGCTCGGGGTTCCAGTACAAGTTTTCTTTGGACACGGTTATAAATCCTGATGACAGGCAAGGACAGAGGGGCTGTTCTGTGCAAAGGGGGCAAGATGGGTGTGTGTGTGGTACAAAATCTTGGAAGGACAAAGACTGCAAGATGAGGGAGGTGCTCAGGCTGTGCTTCTTGGTTGTATCTGTAGCACAACTGATGTTTAAATATGCTGCTTTTCTGCAGGGTTTTTGAACAAGGTGGTGCCCGTGTAGTTGTGGATGTGGACAGCCTGGCCTTTGTGAAAGGTTCCATGGTAGACTTCAGCCAGGAGCTGATTCGCAGCTCATTCCAGGTGGTGAGCAATCCTCAGGCAGAGAAGGGATGCTCCTGTGGGACTTCCTTTTCTGTCAAATTCTGATTGGACTTCTTATGGATGACTGCTGGCTGCAGATGTTCCCTGGTAGTCTTCAGAGGGTTTTGTTTGATCTTTTCCCTGTTGATCCTTCTCATCTTCCTAACCCTGTAACATAGCAGTTACAGATGACACCAGCTGTATGTGTCTGAATTGAGCCTGTTTCCAAGACTTTTCGGCCTTCCTCTCAGAAATATGAAGTAGCCATAATCACGCAAACAGAAGCATCTTCAGTGCTTTGTGAATCACCTGCTCAGTGGCGCAGACTCACCCTGCCTTCTCCAGAATGTGGAACCACTTGTCTCTACAAGAGATGGCTGTATATATGTGTGTGTTTATTGAGAGTTCTTACTAAAAAAAAAACCATATGTATTTGAGGTTGTTTGGTATTACTCATGCATTTGTGGTGGGTGGAATCTGGGTTCATTCCAGCTAGGACTGTTTACCAATTTTTTTTCATCTGAATTGGATTTATACCTACCAGTGTTGCTGGCTGTTCAGTGTTCTGTGGGCTTTTCTGGACACTTAGCTTTTTCAAGCTGGTCTCAGTCCCAGGAGCCCATAGTAGTTTTGCTCTCAGTCCCTGTGATGAAAGTTTTGACTTGTTCAAAGTAAGTGAAGCTCAAAGACTGAGGTAGGAAGAATTAATAGCTATTTGTTTTATTTTAGAAAAAAAAAAAAATGGTATGTGCATATCTATATAAATAAAATACACAGCCTTCTATCCCCAGTGCTGTTTTAGGTTGTTCCTAAACATGTCTTGGCTTTTTATATCATACAATCTCTTAAGTTTCGTAGTGAATCCACTGTCTTCCTAACAGGAAAGGAAGTTTAGGTGACAAAGGCAAAGTTCTGGAATATTGATGAGTGACCTTAAGTCATTGTGACTTAACTAAGAATAATTTGCCTCACCATTTATCCTGTCTGGTGTTATGAAAGAGTTAAACAACTCTTTTCCTTTCTGAAATTTCCAAAAAAAAAAAAAAGGGAAAAATAGAGGTTTCCAAGATAACATCGTTTTGATTAGTTTTCTGTATGTTTGTCTCCCACGGGATGTCTTTTAAATCACGTGCTTCTTTTAAATCTTTAAATCACGTGATTCACGTGCTTCTGGGTGAGAGGTGGAACAACTATTTTTGTTCCCTCTCTTGTGTTTTATCTGATCAAAACCAAATTGTCGAAGACTTGAATCATTCTCGTGAGTCTGGGAGGACTGCTTGACTTTGGTTTCAGGGGAACTGCTTAAAGCAAACCATGAGGTTTTGAGGACCCAATGCCATAGGCATTCTTCTTGTTGTTAAGCTTACAGAATTCCTTTCTAAGCTAGTCAGCAGCACATACATATACTCTGTGTCCGCCTGCTGATTTCTCATGCTTAGTTTATAGCCAGACAATGTTTGCTTCATCCATAAACTATGCAGTTTTGTCACTTGAGGAATACGGGTGGGTTTTAGAGCAGCAGTTCCTTTGGTCTGGTGCTTTTGATTTGTTCCCTGCAGTCAACATGCTTATGTCCCTATCAAACAGAGCTGGATGTAGTGCTGTAGTGAGCCAAAGGATACGATGAAAAGACTTGCCTAAATCCCTGCAGGATACCACAATCTCCTAGGTCTTGAATTGAATGTCTGCCAAAAATGCCTTCAAAAGATAGAAGACCTAAAAACATGTGTAGGTAGAAGACATTAGATATATATATTTTTTCAGGTGGGATAGCAGAGCAATGAAAAATTGCTTTCTGAAGTAGAAGGTATGTAATCTAGCTCTTGGTCTGTTTCATACAATTGGACCTTGGTCAAGTCTCTTTTGGCACTTTTCAATGGGAAATGTAAGTGCAGGAGTAGTGAAGGGAAAAGAGGGAACCAGCAAATAGCAAGGGTTGGTTTTTGTTTTTGTAAATGAAAACCTTTCTTTAGCCCCTGTAAGTATTCCACCTGGCTTACTGTACTTAGTAAATGTGTACAGGCTCTGTCTACAGAACCTAACCAGGTGCCACTTGCCCACTCTCCACTGTTCAAGTAAATCAAGCGAGTGCTGTCTGCATGGAGTGCAACCACTTTCAGATAACTTGCCTCCTTCATTGCAGGGACTGTATGAAGGGTGAATCATAGAATCACCAAGGTTGGAAAAGACCTCCCAGATTATCTGGTCCAACCATAAATGAAATGTTGTGTTCATACTAGTGTCACCAGCAGCCTGTTGCTGGGCTCAGGGGAAGCTTGCATGCATGCCTTGCTGTCTGCACTTTTGGTAGTACTGCTGTAACTGCACTAGGTGGACCCCTTACTCTTTAGGATTGGCTGTTCTGGACAAGACTTGCAGCTTGAGTAAGGTTGAATGTGCTCCTTGCAGGACCTATGCAAGAACAAAAGTTTCTGTGGAGGCAGGCTAGAGCTGATTTTGTCTTAACTCCAGACTCAGTCTTTATGTCAGAGAAGTTGCTCAAAGCTGGAGAGGCTTCATCTGTACAGTGCATTGCTCTTGACCTGCTAGTTCTGCTTCCTGTCAGCACCTAAAATCTACTGGCCAAAACTACTAGTTTTACTGTACCCAGTATGGAATGGATGCTAAAGGCTTTGTTATCTCTATAACCATGTTGTCTTAAAAAAGTATATCTGAAAGGAACCCATGTCAGTACATTATAAATTGGAAACTTCTGTGTCTAGGAAGCTGGCAAGGGGGTCATATTGCAGAATTGGAATTAAGGTGACCTTGGTGAATTTTGCCTATATAGGCAATAAAGGCTGGATTCTGGCTCTGGCAGAAATTTAAAAAGAAAAAAAAGTTAAGGTTTGTACATGGGCTACTCTTAGTGGGGGGAAGATTTCACCACTGTACAAAGTAAAGGATGCAGAGGACTAGAGTTCTGCCGGGAGAGTGAGGGACTGCGTGCCTGTAATGTGGGAATGTGTTGCAGCCCTTGTACTGAAACTGTGAGATTAGGACAGCAGTGTGGAGCTGAAGATGCTGGCAAATTCAAATTCATTGCAAATGAGAAGCTGCAGTGGAAAATCTTTTCTCTGCTCTCACATGAAGGATTCTCTCTCGGTTCGCCCACCTGACAAGGAATGATCAAGAAAGATAGTTATGGAAACCTACGTTAAGATAAAACTTCAAGGGAAAGGGCACAATCATCAGTGCCAGTGACAGGTGGATAGAGACAGATGTCATAGAAATCCTTGCTTTGGTCAGGGCTTTTTGGCTCTTCAGGGACTTGGTAGATAACCAGCATGTTCTAAGAACAGCATTCCAACTCCATTCTTAAAACTTGTTAGCTTCTGCCACTTATTAACTGGGGCAACTTGCACCTCTTCCAGAGAGAGGTGGAGAAATAGTGCTTTAGGGATACGCGTGGCGATACGGTGCTTGCTTTGAGTGGGCTGCTGTAGGTATTGCTTGCTAAACAGAGCATTTGGTCTGGGTGGCACCTAGACAATCAGCCAAGGGCCGGTATTAAGAGAACAACCCCCACATATTCTTGTGTAAAATTTAACTAAATTCAAGTCTTCCTTGTAATATTCTACATCTGTACTGACCTGTGGGATGAGTCAGGAAGATGGCTAGGGCAGAAGAGCCAGTTCCCTCTCAGAGGCACCCCACTGGGCTTCTGCTTCCTCTACACGGTAGTATAATTTCCTGCTTTCTTAGGACTTGCCTGAATCCAGTGCATGGCGGAGGATTCACTCAAAGGCAGTGACAGGCAAGCAGAAGTCTTCTCTTGTCTGTGTCCCACGCTATGAAGGCAATACTTTTGTATCACAACTGCCTTCAGCTTTGCAAGCATTCTGAACTTCCACTGGCAGCATGGAGTAGAAACTGGAGTGGTATAAACCCCCTATTCACACCCTTAGTTGGGATTGGCCAGAGGAGTTCTCTAAATTGAGGGCAAGCTCTCTGTATTCCCAGGCTGTGTTGTTACATCGTGTGCTTGAGGACTGAACTGCATGCTGCTTCCATTCGCAAACGCAGCAGTTGGGTTCATTAGCTGTGTGTAATAGGATACGCAACATTCTGATGCCTCATTCTCTGCCTGTTCTTCCACACACACCAGCAGGGGCTCTCAGGACATCCACTGTCCTCTGGAACAGGCCAGATCAACAGCTCCTTGATGGATTGGCAGTAGAGAAAGGGGTTACTTTGCCTAATGGCTTGTTTGATTTGAATGTCAGCCAGCATGGAAGAAGGACCAGGATTCAAGGAGACACAGCTTCCATTTGAGTAATCTTTTTATTGCTGTTGTTTTTTGGTTTTGTTTTGTTTTAGAAGAGGATGAGTCTTTCAATCAAGCACCATCAGGGGCTAGGCACATAGGATTAATGGTGTGGTTTGGCTCTTGCTGGATTCTGAGAAGTATGCTTGCTCTGCTTGACTTCCAGGATTAGATTGTTACTGGCTTTGATTTGTGCAGATATCCAGCCAGGAAACAGCCTGGCAGACCATGGATTTGGGGTGGTTTTAGCATCCCACTACAAACAGAAAGACCATAGTTAGGCAGCTGAAGCTGGGCATGGCATTGAGCTGGGCCAATACAGCAGGGCTGTAATTCCTGGCTCTGCAGGGAGTAGTTTGTGTGCAGGGCTCCCTGCCTCTGGCCTTCCCATCACTATAAAGCTCTTAATATTTCCTGCTTGAGCAATAAGAGTTTATGGCCCTACTCTTTGTGGTTGATTAGAGCCCAAGTTTGTGCCCCTGTTTTAATCAGTGCTCATTTACCTTTGGCATCCTTCAGAGGAACAGAATGGTATGTCTTTCAGTTGCCATGGAAACAGTGAGACTAAATGCACATTTCCATGGCAACCTGCCATTATCTCCAGCTCTATCTGTGGGTCTCAATTTCTGACCATGGGGGTGGGGTGATGAAAATGGAGCTTCCTCTCTTAAAAAAAATAAATAAAATTTAAAAGTGTGTTATCACCACCACCACAGCTCCTTCCCTCCTCTGGTCAGGCATGGGGCTGAGGCATGTGTATGCTAAGAGAGGCCCTCCTGCTGCCACCATCCCATGCGCTGGGGCTCCAGCCTATCCTCTTCAGCTCCCTTCTCTCCTTCTCACCGTGCTAAAAATAGTGATGTTCAGAACGATTTGATGACAATGCTCCAGCACTTCTCAGAGCTCTTTGTTTCCTCAACCAACGCTCCCAGAAAAGGCCCTTGAAGTTAATTGAACTTTCCAAAGGTTCCAAAGGTTGGTGTGTTCCAGCTCCTCCCAGTCGGACAGGCCAGGTGTTAATTACAAGGTCAAAGATTCTGAGGAGAAGCCTTTGTCCACTGGGCCTGGAGGCCTAGGGTGCATCACCTTAACCTGAGGAGCAAGGGACCTTCTTGCAACGACAACACAGACTGCTCTGGGAGGTTGTGACTGTCAGCTGGGATCAAAGGC